CAAATAGTTAAACTGTTAAAGTATTATACTTATAAGTTATAATACATACTTATTAATTTATATTTTAGTTAATGTATCTATTCGTTGTGAATTCCCAGTGAAATAACAATACTACCACGAATAGCAACTTCTCCGAAATTATATTACTCCAACTTTGTGATAAGCAGTTGTCCCATAATGGCCATAATTGATAAATTATAACCATATATAATACTCGATGTGGTGTTTAATTGCCAATCGGGGAAGAGAAATTTCACACAATATTGTGATGGGTAATATAAATATATTATAAATTTTCATTTGGTCTCAAACAGGTAGGGCAAAGGTGGGGCTAAACCAAATTTGGGTAGGGCACTAGCCCCACATTGCCCCCCCTTTGGCGCCGCCACTGATTGTTTTGAAGAGGATTATTCTTGTTATTGGTGTTGGGTGTACCGAGTCTTTTATAAAAATGATCATAGATATATTGAATTTTAACTGAATGTTTTTGTTATTGTATTGTATTAGTTTTTTCCTATAAATTTAAATAAGATTTTGTTTATTGAGTCAAAAAGCATTACAATTTAATACAAGACTTGATTTGATATATTGTTACAATAACAGTTAAAAAATATTAGAAATATAAGTAAAAAATTTTTTATAAGCGTTGAAGTTTGAACTTTGACAAAGTTCATCAAATTGAAAATTTCAATACATATCTATAATACTTATTCAAATAATTTAAAATGTAGAGTCCAGGGAAACTGATCATTTTAAAATAATATTAATTCAACTTACTGACTATCATATTAATAGTAAGAAATAGCATAAAATATAAAAATATCTTAGACTGACAAACTGTCTCTGGTTAGAATCATTTTTCTTATTATATTTATGTCAATGAATTCAAATGAAATACCATTCGCTATACTCACTATCCACTTGTAACCTGTAGTGCAACAGCAACATCTACTAACCAGCTTTTTTTTTATTGTTAATTTAAACTCAATTTAGATATTCCAACAAAGAATCACAATCTAAATTATTTTATTGTAATTTAAAAAATGTTATCATAATATAGGTTGATTAACAGACCGTCTCTACTAAGGAATATTTTTTATGTAACAATATTATTTCATTGAATTTAACCCTTCATTAAAGTGACCCTACCATACAGCAGAGCATTATACACKTTTTTTAATATTTGATGCACAAATAATTAACTCAACCTTATAAAAAAGTTGCTGAAAATAGTTTTTATATTATGAGGTAAGTCAATAATAAGAGAGTAAGCATAGTTAAAACGACTTTACACACACAGTTATCTTGACCATGAGTGTAAGCAAACAAATTTTGCATTTTTATGTCTTTGGTAGGTAGGTAACTGAGATTACAAAACTAGTCCCAAATTAATAAGAAAATTTATAGGACATGCAAAAATGTGATAAGTAGGTAATTATGTTTCATAATTGGTTAAAGGTTACTCATTAACTTATTTCATTAAATAAAAACATTAACATCAATCATAAAATAAATATTTATTTTGAATCTTCATTATTCATTGGTTTTATAAAAATACATTGAAAAATATGCTTAAAAATTGGTTTTGATGATTGATTATGTTTTAAAATAAAAATGTAAATACAATTTAACTGAAGCAAAAAACTATTTCACATTGACAAATTATAATTATTATTATGATGTGACTTTGCATATAGTACCACCATAAATATCACTAAAGAAACGGATAAGAGTTTGAATAATAATCATCCGAACTTCAGAAATACCACCAAATCTTTCTAAAAGATCTGTAAATCGTAAATTTTGATTTACTATTTGACCCAGTACAGCAGAAACCGTATTTTGAATTCCACCTGTCAGTAGATTTAACAAATTGCGAAGTTGATCTGCAGCTAATTTTCGTAACATGTTTCCTACATTTCTAATCCTCGGAATCAACACATTGCTGATCTGGTGTCCAACACTTCCGCCTGAAATAATAAAAATTAGTAAAACAATATATAGATTTCACCAAGCATGCTTAAACCCATTTCTTCACTTAATATTGAATTCATTCAATTTGATATTTTGGAATTATTTAATCTAATAAATGTGTCATAATGGATAATAGCAATGACTAGTGGTAATAATAATATATTATAAAGTAAATCCCATATGTCGTTGTCTAGTTTTTAAGATTTTTTAATCTTCTTGAAGACAGATTAATATTTTAAAATGTGTTTTTCGATTGTAATCTATCAAACAATTTCTGTTCAAAAATAAAATTACAACAATTTATTTTGTAGGATATAATTTATGAAATAGTTACRTTATTGATTTGATTTTTCCAAAATAATGTTTAAAATTAAATACTAAAATCAACTTAAAATTGAATTAATTTTGAATTACTTTGGGTAGTTAGGTATATTAAGATTTAATTTTGATTAAAAAAATTAATTCAATTTATCCAAAAGTCACAAAGGTACCAATATTTATATATACTACCAATTTTATTACTTAATAGTATCTAATGTTGGGGGTGTACAGGTTGGGCGGATTTGGGCGTTGGTTGCGATGCACACCATTGTCCGTTTGAATCCTGGTCATGGGCAGCATTGCTTTCCAGGCAGTTCATGCTGTATGGAGAGAGAGGCCACTGCCCCCCCCCCTGGGCATGGCAAAAACCTAGGGGTGCCCAATTCAATATTCTGCCAAAAAACCATACACATGTACCAATAAACCTACCCAACCCAAAAACCTATAGTACCCTTCCCACACTCAAAGGACTATGTTGCCACGGCTTAATTTATAAAAATAAAAAAAGTATCTAATGTAAGTAATGTTATAAAYCTTTAGTACTCACCAATTATGGCCCCAGATTTTCCACCTATAATAAGACCTCCAAGTAAACTAAATATTCCGACAACAGATCCAGCCATCAATGCAGTTGGTACTTCTGGTAATTCAAAATTCTAATCGCCAACAAATCTCAACAATGCTTCTAGGGCACCATTTGCAAGTGATATATTAAGAGCCATCACAATGAGTAAACGTATCTATCACACACAAAATTAACAAGTTTATAATATTGTGTGAATTTGTCATGTGTCATGATTGAATATTACTTTTAAGCCGAATAACTCTTGTACATGGATACTAAGTACAAAAAACTATAAAAAAAAACTCTTTAAATGCACAAGAAATAAGTTTCTGTGTTCTATGATTAGATTTTTATTTTTTAATAGGTTAGGTATTATACTATTATATAATATTATGTTAATCGTAATCGTAAGCCTTACATCGTACAAAGTAATAAAAAATAACCATAATATGTTAAAATCTAGATTCTAGCGCTCCAACAGTCCAACGTCCAACACTTGTAAACACAGTTAAAAATTAAAATAGTTAAATGCATGATAAAATAAAGGTCAATTCACACATGTCCGGTCCGTGCCCAGTCCGTGTCCGACGTTTTTACATTGTATGGCTTAAATTTAATGTTATCGTTTACACTTGTCCGATCCGTACCCGTTCCGTATCCGTCTCGTCCGATTCTATTTGTTCAAAACTATGTTTTGTCGGATGGCACTGATACGGAGACGTATTTTCGGTACATGTAAGTACAAGTCAATACTGGTTCGATCAGGTCTGATCAAAAATATAGTGCCCCAAAA